CTAGCTTCTCACTAAGCCGAAGTTTTCAACCGATGTTGCCAGCTTTTCTTTTTTTCTAAGAAGATTATGCCTCGGAATATATCATGTTATACTCTCCTTTCAGGTATCGATGAACAAAGACGGAAGGTAAAGCTACAACCTACAACAACGACCCTACCAAGCTGGCCGCTGCCCGGAGTAAAGATGGCGCCGCTGGCGTCACACTCGATCTTTGGTTGCCGGGCCGCCAGGGGGCGCCCGTGGCCCGCGCGGGGTCGCGGCCCGGCCTTTCCTGGGCACTTTGCCAAGCCAATGGCTACCCCAGCTCACAGAAAAAGCGAGAAAGGCATTCTTTGCCCCGCCCTGGTGGGGAAACCGAGGGTCAGAGTGAGTAGAAGTTGAGTTAGACTAAAGTGCAACCGACATAGCAAGGCATGGTTTCCCAGCACAAAGGGCCCTGACGCGGGACAGCACCGACACTGTCTCAAGGATAAATGGAGATAAATTAATAACTAAATAAACGCAGCTACTCGGTTTCCTCCGTTGCTCTCATCAGCCTCTCCCTCGTTGATGACTTCAACTGTCACGGTTTATTCTTTTTTTTTTTTTAGTTTTATTTTCCGAGACAGGGTTTCTCTGTGCAGCTCTCGTAGACCAGGCTGACCTCGAACTCACAGAGATCCGCCTGCCTCTGCCTCCCGAGTGCTGGGATCAAAGGCCTGTGCCACCAATGCCCGGCTGTTTATTCTTTCTTTACTTACCCACACCACCTCGTTTTTCTTTTTTGACACCTGTTTTGCTTCATCAGTAATTAAGTTTATCTTAGTCTGTCATAGTTCCAATGCTGTACATCCCTGTCAGACTTACTGGCACTTGGGTCGTTCCTTGGAGTCTCTGTGTGTCAAGATGGCAGTTTCAGAGGGGTTCAGTTTCGAGCCCTGGAGGAGGGAAGCGTGTGGCTTTCCAGTTAGGTCCCACAGGACAAGTTGAGCCATTCTTCCAAATGGGACCTGAGTCACTCCAGGAACTTCCCCTGCTCTTGCACCTGCCATGGCTCCCCATTGCCCTGCAGGTCTTCCTCTACGCCTCACCTCATAGCGCCAGCCTTCCTCCTTTACTGTCAGCCGCAACCCCTCCAGCCTCCTTTCCAAAAATCACCAAGCCTGGTCCTGCCTGAATCTGCTTCCCCAATGACTAATTGGAAACAGAGGACCTGCAGGCATCTGGGGTGTTGTTTGGCATCCGGAAAGCAGTTAGGCTGAGATGCAGGAGCTGGGCATCCTCCACACCCACTGTGGGGCTGCAGACTGGGGCACAGCCCCTCCACCGTCCCCCGAAGTTGCCCGGGAATTTGACTCAGGTGAAGGCCAGATGCTGTCTGTCTGGATGGAAAAGGGCTTCGGGAGGTGCAGAGTGACTAAGAGAGGTTCTGGAGGCGAGGCCACCCGGGGCACGGGCGTGGGCTTCAGGGAAGAACCGCGCTCCAGTAAAAGACTTTAAAAGTTTTTAAAGTTCCGTGTTCCTTTCGGTGCGCGCGTCGCCTCCGGTCCTGGGTGCTGAGGGGGTGGGGGTGTCAGAGGACACCTAGCTTGTCCCCTCACCTCGGGGAAAGACAGGATGTGGCAAAGGTGGGAGCAGGAGAAGGAGCCGCCCGGGCTATGCCCATCCTATAAATGGGAAACACTAGAAATTTTCAGGTTCCAGCCAGGGAGGGAGGGGCCTTGAGCATTAGAAACTGTCCGGGTCCCTGCTCAGCCAGGTCCCTGGGCGAAGGCTCCTCCCATATCAGGGTCCCAAGGTTTGCACCCCATCCTGCCTCGGGTATGGGGCACGAACACCAGATGGCACCTTCCAGGGAGATGCTGACCTCAGGCTCCTACTTTAGGCTTTTGTGAGGACATCAGACAGTGTAGACCAGACTGGCCTGGAACTTACCTGGAAATCCACCTGCCTCCGACCGCCAGGCAGAGATTAAAGGCGTGGGCCACCACTCCTGGTCTTATTGAAGACAGAGTACTATTGGCCCAGGATGGACTAGAACTCACTATGTAGCCATGGATGACACAGAACTGATCCACAGGCCTCAGCCTCCTGTCAGCTGGGATGGTAGGCAAGTCCGTATGTAAGGAACCCTCAGGTCATTGCATTTCAAGGTGTCTGTCGTCGTAAGAGGCTTTAAAAACGGAACAGGGTAGGAACTATGACCCGGTGGGAAAAGGCACTGCACCCCAACATCCAGAGCTGGTCCCTCATCTAAGTGGGGGAAGTTGAGAAGGACCAGAAGAAGAGATACAGTTGTTGACATGTGATGCCAAGATCCACTTTCCCAGGCACTTTAGAGCTAGATGGTCGCCATCCGAAGTGATGGGATGGTCCCCAGACGAGGACCACCTCCTCCTGGACTAGGCCCTGCATGGCCTCTGTTGCCAGGAAGACAACCACATTGTATGGTATTCAGAGGAAATTAGCAAAGAACACCAGGTGTGGTAGTGCAGATACACTATGTCAGCACTAGGAAGGCTTGGGCAGGAGAATTTTCTCGAGTCTGAGATCAGCCTGAGCTACATAGACATATTTCAAAACAGTGAGTTCTGGGCCTCAGTGGGTAGTAGAGTGTGGCAGCTCAGTGGGTAAGGTGTGGTAGCTCAGTGGGTAGGGTGTGGTAGCTCAGTGGGTAGGGTGTGGCAGCTCAGTGGGTAGAATGTGGCGGCTCAGTGGGTAGAGTGTGATGGCTCAGTGGGTAGAATGTGGCGGCTCAGTGGGTAGGGTGTGGCAGCTCAGTGGGTAGGGTGTGGCGGCTCAGTGGGTAGGGTGTGGCAGCTCAGTGGGTAGGGTGTGGCGGCTCAGTGGGTAGGGTGTGGCGGCTCAGTGGGTAGGGTGTGGTGGCTCAGTGGGTAGGGTGTGGCGGCTCAGTGGGTAGGGTGTGGCAGCTCAGTGGGTAGGGTGTGGTAGCTCAGTGGGTAGTGTGCTTGCAGCATGCTCAAAGGCCTGAGTTTTTCTTTTTCCTTTCTTTTTTTTTTTTTTTTTTTTTTTTTTTTTTTTTTTTTTTTTTTTTTTTTT